TAACCCCCATATAGCATACATGAATCACCTCGTAGCAGATCTATACAGGTGGAGCTGGGGAAGGTGGAGGGTTTCTGAAGCAAGCTGCAACTGCTACTGCAAGCACGAATCATATATTTGAATGTTGAGCAGCGAGCTCATTGGCTACCGATACAGGAGAGAACCAATCAGCTGTCCCATGTGATAATGATGTCATTAGGTCAGATTGAGTTAGACCTATCAGACTGCGCCATCTAGAGTTTCATGCCAGAACTCTGTATATATATGCTGTTAATATGAATTTCATTTTTAGATTTGTTTTTATTTTAATTTACATATGTCATTGAAATATTTCAGTTGAATATTTTATACATTTATACAAAATGTGTACATTCATTGTAGATTGCACCTGTAATATTTCACAATGTCATAAGCAAGAATACAAAAATGATGCTTATGTGCCACGCCAAGTGATTTAGAATAATTTCACTTTAACTTTTATCTAATGGAAATGAGGCCCATGTGTCCACAAGTTCCCTCTGGACTTGATGGATTGATTAATTAGGGAGGCGGGGCTTCCACACATCACTCAAAGATCTTGTCAGAGTCCCTGACAAGAGGTCAAGCAGAAGACAAGCGCCGACACCTAGTAATAAATTTCTGCCTTTGAACGTTGCATATCACTGACCTCCTCGACACCGGTCACATGAGCTGCTTCTCTTATCCAGTCACATCTTAAATCAGTCTTTGTATGCAAATATTAGGATGTCCCTCTCAGCCACAGAAAGCAAATGCCGGCCGCTCCAATAATACCTTGTCCATTATTTATTCTTCTCTGAGTGTTGCTCTCTCAGTGGAGAGGGTTGAGACTGGAGCGGTGCCCCATATATTACGTGGCCTCCTGACAGAGCTCTGCAGGCCTTTCCATAAATTATGGTGCTCATTTCTAACGTGAACACAATGCGTAAAATATTTATCAGCGTCTCTGGGCTCTAAAGCAGTGATAGAGAGGCGGAAGCAAACCGTGTGTGTGTCATACACCTGTCAGTGACTTGCGAGAATTTACCGGCCAAAAATATTTTTTACTGTCCATGAAACTGTGTTTGCATTATTTCATGAAAAAAACAGGCAGAACAAATTAGGGAAACTAATAATAATAATAATAGTAGTAATCTTTTTTTTTTAATTTATAAAAAAATTTAATCGATAGAAATGTCAGTATAACACTGCTTTTTTTTATTATTTTATATAACAACAGTACAATTGCAATGCTAATATTTATGCTTGCTTTTTCGTTGCTTTCAAACATTAAACCATAGAGCTTTTATTTTGGTGGAAAAACTTGTGTGACTCGTGTGAAAAGATCACAAGGCAGCACATCAAATTACATATTCATATTATTACAATGCAGTCTTTGCGATTTGATAATCACACTAAACCAGATCGTTTTCTCAGGCAATTTTTAGAATTAATAAAAAGTTACTGACCTATATATATTTCTGTCATGACAACTCTCAGAGGGATTGGCATGGTAATGTACATGGCAATGTTAATGTATTTGGTCTTGG